AATACCTTGCATTGTTAATGTTATGATTTACTATATTTAAATGAAAAGGTTGTATTAGAATACTATTGAATAAGTATATAACTAATACATATATAGTAGTTCTGTTTAATTGCTTCAATTTGAAAGCATTGAATTGACATGAAAATATTGTTATTGTTTTTTAGCAGGTGCTAATAATTATATTAAAATTTAATTAATTTAAATTTATGTTAGTTGTGTAAGGCCTCATAGGTAGCAATCGCTTTTATTAAAAAAATTCATATTTAAAATTCAAAATTAAAATCTCTATTTTTTTTATAAAAAAAAAAAGCAACTCCCTCACGTGTATTACTACTTTGATTATAACATCGGTAATTATCCACCCAAACTCTTAATCACGATGAGAAATTTTATTTCAGCAAAAGTCTCAAACAACTTAACTTCTATGAAGCTCTCTTATTACTTTAAATTAAATAGATTTATTAATAAAGATTGATAAAGTGTTTACTGACATTAATTTAATGTCATTAAATTTAGTGTTGCTTGCTTTAGGGAAATTTTTAAAAAGTGTTAAAATATTTTTAATAATAATTAAATTATCATTATTAATTAATTATCGCTAAATATTATTTTTTTGACACGGTCACTCCATTTATTTATGACCCCAGTGAATCTTATCTATTCTTTCAGTCATTTGATATCTGGAATGAGTGCTTGCCGTAAAAAGATTGTTCATTAAAAAATAGAAGATTATATTAATGAATATTTATTACTAATGTATATTGTTTATTTTTCATTAATAAATTTGTAATTAATTGTAATTTAATGAATTATAGTAGTTAGTAGTTGTGTTCTTAATAGTTTTTATTAAAGTATCATATTATGATTTTAGGATAATGTATTGTTTTTAATATTTATTACTAATGTAAATTGTTTATTTTTTCATTAATAGATTTTTAATTAAATGTAATTTTATTAATTATAGCAGTTAGTAGTTGTGTCATTAATAGTTTTTATTAAAATATTATATTATGATTTTAGGATAATGTATTATTTTAATATTTATTACTAATGTATTATTGTTTATTTTTTCATTAATAGATAACTAATTGTATATAATGAATTATAGTAGTTAGGAGTTGTGTTATTAATAGTTTTCATTAAAATATCATATTACTTCCTCCAATTCATTTTATGCGGCACTTTTCGCATCTTAAGATTTAAACAAGTCTTTTTTTATATAAGTTTTTCATAGATTCTTTTAACATTTTGAATCATTAATTACTATGAGTTATAGTACTTTTTATATAATTAATAAATATAAAAATTTCATTTAAAAAAAATGAAGCTTGCATTCGCAAATATCCGATCAAAGTTAAATTGTTTACTTTCAAAAAACGAAAAGAACTACATAAATTGAGATAGAAAAGTATGATTTTAGGATAATATATTATTTGAATCAATATAAAGATAACAATGTTGTGTTAAACTCATGAGTATTTCATAGGATATAACTTATATTTCAAAAAAGAAAAAGTGAAATATATTTTCAAATATTATAGTCAAATATATTTCAAAACATCAATTTAAATTTTACCTAAATCTGATTTTTCAAAAATATTTAAAAATCTATGCTCAAACACTATAGTTGTTCCCATTGTTTTCTCGCTGTGCTAATTAATCCTTGGTTTACAGGTTTCGTGATTTGGTTTGGATCGATTATTAATTAAAATTATAACCAAATCAATTTAGTTGGTTTTTAAAATTTTTAAAATAAAATCAAATCAAACGAAAAAAATAATCATCGGTTTGGTTATTGTCGATCTGGTTTAGTTTTTCTAGTTTATTCGGTTTGAAAGTAATAACTTTTTTAGGACGTACGTATTTCGATAGACACAAACACCAAGTACATGAACAATTTATAGAAAAGCTAATATTGGTTCAGCCAAACAATTAAGCAATATTACAGTTATCATTTCACGAACAAAGTGATTCATTTAAGAAAAAGTGTGAGTATTTTATTGAAGTGCAGTAGATAAAGACTGAAATGGATTTTGATGGATTAGAATTTGAGATTGTTATACATAGGCTAATTAAGTGTTGGGCTTGATAAAATGGTAAAGTTAAAGACTTAAGTTAATTAAAATGTAACAAAATATTTTTAATTTATTTATGTTTAATATATAATAATTATAAAATCTATATATCTAATTTATCGATTCGATTTGATTATTTTTGCAGTTGTTTTTTAGTAAAATAAAAACCAAACTAAATAATATCAATTTTCAAAACTTAAAAACTAAACATAATCAAACTAAATCAAATATCAATTTTTATTAATCAATTTGGTTTGAATTAAGCTTTAATTTGATTGTTGCCATAACCATGAACAACCCTAATTTCCATAATGACTTCAATGATTACTTAATCATTATTGAATAATTAATCACATAATTATTTCTCAATGATTACTAATTAATGATTCGAGGCAATGCAATAATATGAGTTCATTCAACTAATTTTAACACTTATTTTTCCATTCCTTTTTAGTTTTCATAAATTTTTTTAGAGTAAAATGATACTATAAACTTTGATCAATATTTTAAAATATATTCTTTTATCATATTAATATGAAAAAATTGCAACTTATAATATTTTTCATATAATTTCAAAATATCTAATTTTTTATTTCAAAAAAGGGTTATATTTATTTTTATACTCTTGGAAAAAAGGTTATATTTACTTTTCGTCATACTGTTTGATATATTTGTCTTGCTATCTAACTTTGGATACATATGAAAATAACTTTTAACGGTAATAAATAGACACATTAATAAAGGGTGTTAAAGTCTTTACAACATTAGTTAAGTGTGATTAGATCCAATGTCACTAAAGTCTTTAGAAAATATACAAAGACTATTAATTGACACTAAAAATAAATATTTAGCGATAATTACTACTCCCTCCGTCTGTAAATGTTTGTCATGTTGCGTTTATCGAAAGTCAATTTGACTAATTTTCAAATGTAAATTAGATCACATTAATTCGATGTTTTAAACTAAAAAATTAGATATTCTAAAACTATATGAAAAGTACTATAAATTACAAGTTTTTGCATATTAATATGATGAAAAAATACATCTTAAAATGTTAGTCAAAGTTTTTATAGTTTGAATCTAAAAATAGAAATTATAATAAACAATATCGAATAGAGAGAGTAATTAATTACTGCTAAAAATTATTTTTGATATAGTCATATCACCACTTAGATTATCTTACGTGATGTTTACTTGGCTCTACATGGATATATTATTATTATTATTATTATTATTACAAATTTACTTAGTATTTAATATTTTACTTGATAAAATCTGATCCACAAAATACTCCTAACAATCTTGAACTTTTCCCAAAACTCATCCTAAAACATCATTATGACGTCATAGGAAAAATGTGCCCAAGGGCAAACATGATGCCGAAAGAGAAATATATGTTCAAAGTTAGTTGATAAATGTAAATATATATATAAAAAAAAAGATGATGAAATATAAATATAACCTTTTTTAATCGTGTAAGAATAAATATGACTTTTTTTGTTTTTACTTTTTAAAATATTAATTTAATATAATTTAATTTAACTTTAAAGTTAGTTAATTGAATCTCGAAAAATGCGATATAATAAACTCGAAAAGAAGGAAAAGAGTATATCAGTACAAGAATTATAAATTTATTGCTCCAACTTATATCAAATTATATATCTCATAGTTTTACTATATTTGAGTGAATATCATCCAAGTCTATCTGAATCAATCGTAGAAATTCGATGCGTTAGTTACATCATTTACAAATTCCGCATACGACGCTTGACTGCAGCCAAATATGAAAGTTGAGAAATACAATTTTGTAATATACTATGAAGTATTTCATAGTTGATAATTGAACTTATTTAATGTCACTATAGGGATATTCCAATTTGTCATTCAAACATTAATCATGCAGCCATTTTATTAATAGCAAATTTCAACTCAGCCGCCATTTAGGGGATAATATATATATATATATATATATATATATATATATATATATATATATTATT